TGACTTAATTATAAAAAAAATTAAAGAGGGTCATAGTTACCGAGATAGGTTTCTTATAAACCAGCCCCCTCCCCCCCCCCCAAATGGTCACCACCACCCCATCCCTACCCCCCCTCCCCCAAAGCAAAGCTTACTTCCCTTCAGTTATTACCTTTGGGGATTTTCGACAGATGGAGTCTACGGAAACAACCGACATATAAGCAAAGTGCAGCTAAAACTCAATGTTAGACAGAACAAAGAACATCCAAAACATCGATCCAGAAACTTGTCGCGGTGTTATTCAGAATTGCCAGTGGCTTATTAGATTTGTATAGAGAGAAATGGTCGCCATCTTGAGATTTCACTAGCCATCACCTCCCTGAGTTTATTTAGAAATATCAATGTCGCATAAATGTCCTCTTTAATGCACAACCGGTGACTAGATGAAATAGAACAAAAAGGATTGTTTTTGAAAAATTCGCTCAATTCTGTCTGAAATTTATTTTTCTAAAAATGATATTTTTTAAACTAGTTTTTTTAAAATTTCCTTCAAACTGAAAAAATGCAACATAGCCCTGGTTGATATTTTGTTTATTTTTACGAAGTTTGAGGAAATTGATCCAGAGATGAGCTATTAACCTTTGAATGTGCCCTCTTCTTTTTTTTTATAGACACCCTTTATTAGTATTATGCTAGCGAGCAAATGAAACACACACAAAAAAACAACTATTTTGGCCATAACTAAATGACCATCAATTATAGTAGACTGGAGTTTACACCTTCGATAGTACGTCATATTATCTTTGGAAATCAAAAATCGTCTATCTTGCTTGTCACTCGCAACTAGAGTTATTACCTCTGTATTGACGCATGGACAACGTTACGTGGTGATTTCGATACATGGTCTTAATGAGTGAAAAAAGGGTGAAAAATGTCCATCTGAGCTCTGCTACGAGAGCCGAGGTAAAAAAAAAATCGGTTCTGTCGTTTTGCCTGCAGTTGCAACAACAATGCCACGTTCAAGGGTTATACAGCAAGAGAGAGCAAAAGGCCGTTTGGAGAGTGGAGAAAGGCCTTTTGAGATCGCCAATTATTTGGGTGTTCACATCTCGACTTACCAGAGACTGATAACCCGTTTTTAGCTCACAAATTCTACAGCGGACCAAAATAGCTAATGTCGACTCAGAGTGACTGATGCACAGTCCAAATATACCGTTCAAATCGACTTCAGACAGCTACAAGAACGTCAGATTTGATGAGGAGTACCCACGGAAGATGGGGAGGCAACACACAGTGAACCAACGATGGCGTCAGGTAGGCCTTAGACGCTGTCGATCTAATCATGGTCCAGTCTTGACAGTACACCATCGCCAAGACCGTTCTCAACTGGGTTCAGCACCTTGACTGTTCTTCGGTTGTCACTTTAGGACGAATGCCTGTTCTCCATGAATGCAACAAACAAGGGTCTCAGAGTTTATCAAGAGGTAGGCGAACGTTATCGTGACAACTGTGTCATAGAGAGGAATCGCTCGGGAGGACATCGCGTCATGATCTGGGGTGGAATAATGCGAACAACAAAGTAGGACCAGTGATCTTCCAAAATTAAGGCTAAGGTCCATGTTGTGGTATCAATGCTGCCCGTTGCATAGCAAAAGTTCTTAGGCCCCTCTACACAGACTCAATTTTAATTTCCGGTTCCAGCAGAATAATGCTTGTGCGCACACTTCCCATGTTACACAGGTTTTCCTCCAATACCATGGCATCACTCTACAGCCTCACCCTACCCGTAACACTGATTCAAACCCAATTAAGCATTTTTGGGACGAAATGAAACGACACATCGAGGGGAGACAACAAAGGCCGAGAACCAAGCAGGGAATGAATGTGGCCATCCAGGAGATATGGAGGCGGACCCTGTTACATTCTACCAGAAACCTAGTGGCCTTCATGTACCAGAGATGTACTGCAGTTCTCCGATCTAATGGTTACCATAACAGCTACTGAGCCTTTTGATGCATTAACCGGAAGTTGAAAATGTTTTCCGTTAAAATGTTACGTACACAGTCATGCTTCACGTCACGCCTTCTTTCATAATGCCAGAAAACAGTTTGTATTTAAATTCCCCCATTTTGTAAAAATGGAACACGAACATGATCACCATTGCAATTTAATGGAAAGCTAAACAGGATTTTGGGTTTCTATTGCACGCTAGTATATTAATATGTTAGTAAGAAGCTCAAGCTGGCCGAGGCAGATTGTTAGTCTTTCGTGAAGAAATCTTTAGCACATTCTTTTTCTGGAGCTGCGCAGACAACAAAAGAACCCACCATGCAGGTCACTGACTTACATGACCACAAATGTCATTTTATGCCAGATGCTCAGCGTTGGTCCCTTGAGGTTTGTTCGCAACGGTTCAGGTATTTAGAATAGACACGCCCTCAAGTACATTGTTGGACTCTACAGTTCCAATGGCAGCCGTCCATCCCTCCCCCCTTTCACCCCGCTTAGGGATACACTGTTGCTAACACCTGTGCCGATTTCACGAGGAAAAAAAAAAAAAAAAAAAAAAAAAAAAGCCAAAACAACCCCCCCCCCCAAAAAAAAAACCCCAAACCCCCCCCCCCAACTTGAAAACCCCATCGAAAGTCCCCCGCATAGCCACGCCGATCTCCAGGGGAGGAGAAAAAAACTCGTTATCTCTGTTGTCTCAAATGAAAATCCTCTCTAAGTTAAAGGTAATGTTGACTGCGTAGAGAGATGATGACGTAGAGAACAAAACTGCTAAGAAACAAGGAGAGCCTGGAATGAAGACAATAATTTCATAATGTAAAGTCTGGAATCCAATGATACATTCTTTCGTCCCTTTGTCCTATTGATTTAAATACTCCTTAGAATTTTCTGATTTTTTATCTAAACACCATAAGGTACGTTTTTTTGCCAAAGTGTTTTTGCTATGGTGCCGACTATTATTTCTATCTGCGTCGTAGTAAAAGATAGTCGGGTAAAAAAACACCTACAACTGATTGTTCAGAATATGTAGTTTATATACAGTTTTATTGGAAACACAATAAATACTGGTGCCCAAGTAAATGCGATTTAATGCTTACGGTAAAAGACCCTACGCTTTATGCATTCCCATGTTTAAATTTGACTTAGGCTAACCCCTTCACTGCCAAGACCAACGCAGTCTGAACTATTTGGTAGGGTTACATGGCAAGTCTGGCAGTCAAAGGGTTAACAGTCTAATTATCTTTAAAAAACTGGCACTTTCCCCTGATTAAAATCTTATTGTTTGAAAGTTCCCGCTCCCGTAAGTTCCAATGGTTATATTCTTTTAAAAGTGCTTTCACCTTGTGAGTCTGAAACCATACTAGCATGACATAACGGCTAGCGTTATTGTGTTCGTTACGGGCTACAGCCTAACAGTATTAACTTGTTTATGGAATTCGTTATGTCATAAAACTTTAGAAATGGTGACCAACTACATAGATCGATTGTTCCCTGTAGAAAACTCTGGAGATAACAATTTATACCCCAATCCACTTTAAAATAGACTTGAATACCCTGAATGCAGTCTTTGTTCATTTCATGCACACAAAAAAAAAAACGAATCAAAGAAAAAACAAAACAATATACACGTGAATACTGCTCTTGCAGCCACTCGAAATTAAAAATGAAAACGTCGAGTAAGTGTCAGATTATAAGTATTTGAGTGTTACAATAGACAACAAACTCAACTGGCGTGTGCACACTTCTCTCCTGCATTAAAAAAAGTGAACAAAAGACAATTTTCTTCTTTAAAAAGCTCATGTATTATAAAGTTGATAAAACATTGATGTCCAGATTCTATCATTCACCGATAGAACGTATGATCAATTTCGGTATAACAGCATAGGTAGGAACACAAGACAAGAAGACAAAGAAAAATTAAATCGATTAATACGGAAAGCATGCACAATTTCAACACCTACATTCCCCTACTTGGATGCATTGTACATTACAGCTCGCACTACAACAATTTATTCCAACTTTTTGGACAATAAATATTCCTTGATCCCCTCAAATAAAAACATCAGCCAGAAATAAAAGATACTGATTTCTGATCTTTAACAAATAAAGATAAAGAAGGTCATTTTTGCCATTATCCATCAAAATTCTTTCGACTTAACCATCTTGTTACAAGTATTCATTTCCTGACCGTAGAGCTTTCATCAGAATAACATTCAGTTAAAACAAGAATACTGAGTATGTATCTAGCTTAAGATTATTATTGTTTATATCACTGTTTATTTATATTATGCATGTGACTGAAAGCCTGCTTGTGTGTGTATGTGTCTGTGCGTGTGTACGTGTGTGTGGGTGTATGTACGCACGCGTGTGTGTGTGTGTGTGTGTGTGTGTGTGTGTGTGTGTGTGTGTGTGTGTGTGTGTGTGTGTGTGTGTGTTGTGTACACGTGGTGAAACACCAAACCAATGTGCCTGCAAGTGGACAATAAAGACATATTATCTCATCTTATCTTTATCTTAATACAGCCATGCTTAAGAAATTGGTTGGCTTCCACTGTTCAAATAAAGGAATAAAAAAAGTGTTGAAGGAAATATAAAACAATGCATGTATATTATTTGATGTCTGGTATTTGCCAGAGTGAGAGTTTTATGACTCTCGTTATTGTTTAAGTTGAAAGTGATAACATGGTTTTTTTCACGTTGTTTAACAACACGGCTTGGGTATTCTTTGTTAAGTCGATATGGTTAAAGTGGAAAATTCATGGTAAAAATTCAGTAGTAAAAACAGTCATTTAAACATTAAAAAATAGTATTATCTTAAAAATGTACAGTTTTCTCAAAGTTATTAAAACAAAAACAAACCTTTTGCTTGCAACCCAAACTGATACTGTCTCCACCCCCCCCCCCCCCCACCCCAACCCCATTTATTTATGAAAAAACAGGTTGGGGGAGGGGGGGAGGTAAGGATCTCGATTATCTCAATTAGTATTGATCTCCTCTTATTTGTGCTACAGATGCTGACCACGAATCAACATGAGATCTCCCTGACCCAGGTGGGTGCTGACGTCATGTCCGTTCTCATCGAGTACGCTTACACACGAACTGCGAAGATCACCGCCATGAACGTAGAGCAAGTGCTGCCTGCTGCCGATCAGTTCCACATCCTGGGAGTGGTCAAGGTAAGACAGACGGAATGGGAGTGGGGAGGGGAGGTGGAGGTATGACCCCAAAATAGTGGGGTGTTTGTATTACATTCTCTTTAGTTAAGAAACAGAAACACGTGCAATCACTCTTTAATACAGGAGAAATCGAAAGTTATTATTAAAAATTCGAAACCTGAAATAACGTTTTAAAAACAATTTAACAAAAGAGCAATAAATGCAACAACGAATACAGCTAGCATAATAAAAATAATTTTAGCGACCGTTTTTCCACAAGGAGCAAAAACATAATGGCAACAAGGCATCTGAAACAACTGAAAACTTTTTAAAAAAGAACTTTGAAAAAAAGGCAACTTGAATTCGTTTTTACAGCTATGACTCTTTTTCAATAAATGGCAAGTATAATGCATTTATACAACAATTCAGTTACATGTATGTTGTATAATAATACACACGGTCAAAATGTACGAACAGTTTTGCTGACACACTACGTTTGCTGGTCGCCACAGACATTTGATAAAGCGATAGATGTACCTCAGTAACCAAACTCCTAAATGCTGCATCACGGGCATAACATTACCATTGATATGTATTGTATAATTGGGTGCTTTTCTGAGCTCACTGAAAATGAAAACTCTGAAAGAAGGCATGGGTGAAACACTCCTCATTACTCTAAAGGTATGGTGAACTCAGGACCCTCTACTGCACACGTGCATGAACAGGATCTAATTTTTTTTCTAAAGCACATGGCTTTTAACACAGGATTGTCGTCATTACTGAAGGATAAGAGAATATGAGTTCTGGAGAGCTGTCGGGGAAAAACGCGTTGGGATTGGCAACTGAGGCGAAATATATTGATAATTCCGGTAACTCGAGATATCTGGCCCCGCTGCTAGTACGAACCAGAGGTGGAAACTTGGAAATTAACTTCGGTTTCCCCGACACTGCACGCGAGTTCCAAGACTTGCATCAAAGACGTTGGAAAATTTAGGCTGAACATAATAAAATGAAAATATAATCAAGCGGTTCCTCTCTGCAGTGAATATATTGCCAGTATTTGATGGGCCCAGTTCTATTCCAAGGCTCAGTCAAATTAACAGTGTTTCGTGAAAATTGCTCGCACAAAAAAATAATTATTTTCATAACTACGGCTTTCTGTGAAACGAAACTGTTATTAACATGAAGATAACAACGTTTTTAGCTTTTAGAGAGATTTGTAGCAATCTATCTCAAGGAGAAAGAGCGAAAAACTCAACGTTTTATGTTCTTGCATTCAAGACCAGGCTTAGGGCCATGCTGCTGGACTGAGCCTCCATTTAGACTTGTCTTTTTACTTGACAGAAAAGAGGAAAAACACTCTAGGATGTTCAATTTTGGGGTTAAGTCCAGGTCAGTAAGCAATCTATTCCACAAAGACATCTGCATATCAGCATTGTCTTCGTTGATACCAGACTGGAGGCTTTCAATAAAGAATCTGGCATTTGTGGGAATGACCTTCTCACTGTAGAGTTTCAACAAATCCTTCAACTTCGCATCCTCTATCATAATGATGTTTGTTGTATTTCTTCTCAACTATGGGAATAGATAAAACCCAACGTTTGAACAAAAGCACTTTCTTCTATGGTCCCACTTCGTTGGCAGTGTACTGGCATCAAACTTTTTTTGGGTGAGGTTCAAGTGTTAAAATAGGGTGTGTACTGTCTGGCTCTTCGCTTTGTCAAAGAGAGAACCACTGGACATTGCTGAAAGAAAGTTTGCTACCAGAGATGTCTTTGACTGTAGACTTCAGAAAGCTCTTATTGGCACATTTCATTAAGCCGCAAAACAAAATGCACAATTAATAGGTATGATTGTCTACTTTCTAGGATTATATTCATATAATCAGTGGGAATCATAGCTCGCTCCACATTTTGCCTTTTTTCAATAAACCCCAAATCCCTATCATTGGGTATGAAAGTGTGGTCTCTGTGCAAAAAGTGCGATATATCCTTTCAGACAGTTTATTTTCGATGAGTGATCGAAGGAAAGTTATCATTCTTTCATTCTTATTCTGTCCAGGACATCCGTCACTGAACCAAATTAGGTGAACTGCATTCATTGCCCTGTGTTTTAGAACTTTGGGAAGGCATGAACAGACTTCAGCTGACCCTCTGTCAGCATCAGCCTCACTCCACGTTTTCATTATGGCGTCATCATTTTTCAAGTCATGAACCCCGAAATTAAAATCCCATAGCAAACGCTTGTAAAAAAAGATAGTTGTTTGAAAGGTTCGGTCAAGGTAAGTTTTGCTGGAAATCAATTGTGCTTACTTCAAGCTTTGGGTTTGATTTAGCAGACAGACAGACAGACAGACAGACAGACAGACAGAGCGACAGAGAGACACAGAGTTAGAAAGGAGAAGAGAGATATAAAAGAAAGTTGGGAGGGGGGGGGGGGGGGGGGGGGGGGG